GGAAAGAGTTGTATCACTCCAGTGCTATCAACTGAATACCACTGCAGAGGCCAGCATGTGATTGAAGCAGTCCTGACTAGCACACCAGAGCACTGCCATGACTGCTAGCTAAGTCCTTGCTACAGCCCAAGATCAGCAGGATGCAAGGTAGTATGACAGCAGAAATCCTAGTGCCTTCACCCCCACCCCGCCCCAGCTCTGCAGGAACATTGAGGCTTGGCATCTCTGAGCACCTTCTCCAGCAATAGATAAAGCAATTTTGGCAGGGTCTACAGCCAGAACATTAACTCTTCCATCAGCAAAAGGCAGCACCTTGACTGGCTGTTTCCACCAAGAGACAATGCATTTTTTTAACAAGAATGAGCAATGCATTTTCAGAGTGGTGACAGCTTTCTGGAGCGCTCTCCAATGCTAGGTTATAAATTATGGTCCCTGTCCACTTGCCAACTGCTCTGCCAGGCCTTACAATGTGTTCCTTTGTGTGCTGTCAGCCTATGCAGGGGACACACTTCCTGCTTGGTTTCATCTTTGGACACAGCTTAGTTTCTTAGTTTTCTCTCTGAAGTCAGGGTGTCCTTCCCTTGGGAAATGTCTTTGATTGCTGCATTGACCATGTGCTTTTTGATGAATAAGTTTCCGAGTTCTGCTTTTGACACATCCTGAGAGCGTCTGAAGGGCCTGCCTTCAGTAGTGGGAGGACTCCCTTTACCCTGTGTCTAAAGCAGGGGAGAAAGAAGCTCCAGCCCTACTACATGACAGTGCTTCCCCAGGTCTCTGCAGCGTGCTGTGCATTGTGGCCAAGACCCCTAGCCCAAGCAACGGATCCCCTTGGCTCTGCATACCTCTGGCTATGGCACACTCTGCGCACGTGTGCACGCGCACACACACACGCACACACACACACACACACACACACACACAGTGCACAGCCTAGTTCACACTGCTCATCAGACACAGCTAAGCCACATTAATACCTCCTGGCCATGCTGTTGCCAGGGTTACCATATACATATTGCACAACCTCTGAAACACTTCTCTCTGTTTTGTAGCAACTTGCACTATAGAAGCAGTGTTCCCATATAACCTCATTCCACCCCAGACACAGCAGAGCCAGCAACTCATTCCTGCACTCCCTGATGAAACAAGATAACCCTGCCAAAACTGTGGTGCCCAGTCCCAGGGGAGGTGAGGGCAAAGAGGATGGAGGGTGAGTACAGAAGTAACTCCTGCCTTGCAGTTCTCTGCTCTGCATGCCCAAAGGATCCTGGAGCTGCCACAGTGCTCCAGGACTCTGAGGGAATATGGAAATACAGGTGACCCTAAACCTGTTCATGGGGAGCTAGGCGTGGTCCTAGCATTGGCAAGCCTGGCATCCAAAGCCGCTTTGCCTCAATGTGTCTCAAAGAGAAACAGGAGCTAAATAGCTCATTAAGTAGGCGCCTGGGGCAAGAGACAGCCTGGAAAGATCATGACCTTTTCTGGAAATCACAAAAAGGGAAAGGTCTCAGGGGGCCTAAGCATGGAACCACATCGATGCTCCTCCTCTACCCATGCCAAAGGAGCTGTGTAACATCCTCCTTGGCTCTTGCCTATGCCACAGGCTCTGGACCAAGTCACAGCCTCCTCCTGGGCTTCCTTTTCCGGGCTGCATGAGGAGCAGCAGGAGCCAGCCAAGGACCCGACTGCTGCAGCCAGTTCAGCATGCTCCCGTCTCAACAGGGGTGTCACAGTGACAACAAATGCACAACAAACTCAGGCCCATAGAAACCGAAACCTGACCTGTTCAACTCAACCCCATGGGAGGGTGGTGGGGCACCTTGCCAGCCCTGGCCCGCTGCCCCTTTCCTGCAGAGCCCTCACTGGGACGCTCCAGATTTGCTGCCTCCCTGCTCTTTAGGCTTTGCAGCCCCCAAGGACTGGCGCAGAGGTTGCTGTGCAAGTGCCTGCAGAAGAGCTGCTGCTGTCCCCAGCCACCGCTTGGTTCCCCTCTGCTGCCAGCTTTGTGAATCTGGGCTATTGCACTGCCTGATGCTGTGAAGTCCTGCCAGAGCTTCTGCTGTCCTGCTGCTCCCGCTGGCGTTACCTGGGCTCCTTTTTGGAGCTGTCAAGAACAACTCCAAAGGCAGGCAGTCAAAGACACCCATTTTGGTGCAAAGGCTCACCCCTGCCAGTGCCAAAGGCAGTCCATCTGCAGAGGGGGGACCCTCCAGCTAACACAAGACAGGCTAAGGACAGTGCTGTCCCTTAAGCAATATGTACCACCTGCCTCCTACGTGGCTGCCTAGATCATTGTTCTCTCCTTAAAGCACAGAGTAGGCGAGTAGCTCTTCCCCAACCCTAAGGGCTGGCCACTTTCTATGAGATGGGAAGACAGGCCTAAGTTCTTTCCAGCCTGGGTAGAGGCTACTTTAAATTTCTACCTCACTGACTGCCACGCTGACCTCTGAGGTTCTGCACTTTGGGACCTGCTTTTATATGTTATGAAGAGCTGGAAGAGAAGAGTTTGCATGTTCAGGACAAATTCCTATGTGGGCCAATGCCACCTCCCCTAGTTGTGCCGTGTGCAGGGTCCAGGCTCTCTGGGCATGTCTGACCTCTGCCAGGACAAGCTGGCCAGAGGATGAACACCCTTAGGTGATGCTGCAGGGACTCTGACATCAGCCAGACGTGTACTGTTTAGAAGCACTCTGGGTGCCTCCAGCATCCAGTGGCAACTGTGTGGGACAGTGCCACCAGTCTGCATTTTGGGTTCTCAGTAGCCCAAGTCCCATGGAAGGAAGGAAGGACACTTGTGTGTCTGGTCCCACTAGTGTGAACCTGTGTTGGGGAGACACAGGCAAGCAGCAATACTGCTCAGGCAAAATCCTAACTCACCCTGACGGAGTGGCTAGTGTTACAGGCTTTGTGGTAGCTCCCAGAAAGCTTCATTCTTTCTCTTGTGCTGTTCACCTGTGGGAGAAACCTCTGAATCCCTGCGTCTCGAACCCTTCAGCCACCCAGCATGGGTATATGCCACATGGAGTGCTCTCCACTACTTTCCATCCTAGTGCCCAGACCAGGCACTGGTGGTGGAGAAGGGGCCTTTCCTCCAGCTCCTGCAAGCCACAGATGATGGGTGGGAACAATTTCTGCTCCCAAGCCAGAGAGGTCTCCTAGGGGCCAGATGCAGCCAAGAGACTGCTGTTTCATTTAAATGAAGTCTGGCTGAGTAGGAGATGCTGGGTGCTGGGATGCAAACAGAAGCCTAGGCAGGCCAAGGAGAGACCTGAGGAGCGAGCTCTGTGCTGATGGAGTCCCAGAACTAGACATCACTGTAGGAATTTTCCTGCACTGGCAGAGTGACTGTGGCCAGTGGAAAGTAGGGGCTCCACTCCCAGTTGCTGCCAGTGCAATGCTGGCCAGTCTGGCACTGGCACCCTGGGTGCTAGAGCTGTGGGCTGCCATGCATAGTGAGCTCCCACCACTCCAAAGGCTTGCAGATCCCTAGAGCTTACAGATAACTTGTGCACAGAGGGTTTCCCAGCGTCCATAGCACAGGACATAGTGAAAGTTAATATTCTGCCTTTCTGCTGTTGCTTGCTTATAGAAAGTGATTTTCCTCCACCCTCCTGCAAGAAACCAAGGCCACTAACTCCTACTGATGCTGGCTGGTTCAGAAGACACCATGGTATGGAAGCACTCTACCACCCTGGTGGAGATCAGAGTTTTGCATAAACGCCAGTCATACTCCCAGGGCCTGTAGCTTCACATCCTGTATTTGCTCAGTCAGGGATTGCCACCATGTTTGAGACATGAGCAGCATCAGCCAGAAGCTCTGAGAATCTTGCCTACATAGCCCAAACCTGGTGCATTTCCTCCTAGAAGGGGCATTTCAGAGCCCAGAAGGAAGCTGTGCTTGTTGGCTGTGCCCCATACTGCTTCCATTTGCACCTGTAACCTGAGATGCTCTGTGCTGTTGCTCTGGTACATCTCCTTGTTCTTATCTCTTGCTGTGTGTGTTCTGTCCCATCCCCCTTCCCACAATGTCACAAGGACCAGCTTTTTGAGGCTGGTTTCGACTGTGTTGGGTAGGCGCAGTGTGCTTGGCTGGAAGAGGTTGCTTTCTAGGGTAGGACAGATCAGGGCTTGGAAAACTGGTGGGAGAGAATTCAAACTGAGGTCCTGACTCTAAGAGCATGTGAGCAGAAAAAGACAGAATCTGAGCCCAAAGGAGATTTGAAAAAGGAGTGCTAACCAACCCCAAAAAGGAGCACCCAGGTAAAGCTGGCCAGAGCGGCTGTCTAGCAAGAGTTC